TTTTCCTTAGAATGTCAATTTCTCTAATTCAGTATCTTTAACACGTACAGTTTTTTTTTCGATTTAAATGCCCCTCCCCCCCGCGCTTTTTTCCAGAGAAGTTCTTCTCTGGCCTGTTCCTTTCTAAAATAGCACCCCATTATGTCTTAGTACCTTGTTTATTTCTTTTATAACATAAAAGATATTTATAGATAGGTTGTTTAGTGATATTAATACTTTTATACTAATCATTTTATTAAGTTGTTGATTATTTGATTTTAGTCAGTAGAGGAGAAATATATGACAGTAGCCCTTAAGGAGCAACATGGTCAAGTAAAGGTATCACAGGGTTTGGAAACCTGGAGCAAGTAAAGAGGTAGAAATAAAAACTTCATAAATAAGTATGGGAGCACCTTTACAGAGAAAAGGAACTGTGTAGTCCTCCAGGACTCTTGGGGAGGATGAGATAAGTGTAACTGCAGGCATGTTTAAGGTGAAAAAGAGATTAAATAATTACCTGAGTCAGACCAGATATACTGAGTAAAGAGGGGAAAATAAACGGAGTTGAGAAGGTTGAAATATTTGTCAAGTGGAGCGCCCTAAGAACAGGGGTGAGGCTCTGATTGTAGTTTGAGTGAAATTACAGTGTGTATTCATTCGAATAGTGCCTGCTAGTCTACAGCAGTAGGGGGTTAATAGAAATGATGCAGAGAGTGACTGAAATTACATAGCGTGTGTGTAATCTTGCTGCTGAGGGGGGATGTATTATACAGGGTGAAGGTAGCGTTGACCTAAGGTAGAAACAGCAAATGTAGAAGCATCATCAATGTGCTGTGAACACTATGTTAAGAAGGGGACTTGGATTCTTATTCCAACTGTGCTCTAAACTGCTGTAACTATGGGCACAGTTTTACCTTCCCCCTGAATTAGAAAAGGGTTGAGCCTGATCCTCTCTAAAGCCCTTTCCAATTTTCAAACAATGAGAGTGTATGAAATAGATGGAGTTGAGTGATTAAAGGTTCAGGTAAAAGTAGATGATAAATGAGAAGCAGCAAGAATAAGGATGAAGCTTGTAATAAGTTTTACCTCCTAACTCTGTAGTAACACGATATAACATCTGTAAATGTGTTTATAGAGCCCCTTGTTTTCATTCACGAATCTGATCTCATTGACCTACATAAAAATGTTAGTAGAGAGATAAATTAGTATTTTCATTTATAGACTAGCTAAAGGAAAGTTCACTGAACTTCAAGTCTAATTCCAGCTGTGCTTCCAGGCATGCCATTCTCAAGCCGCACTTTTTAACCCTGTTTTCTCGTCTGTAGAATGAGGAGGGTTGTTCTTTGTATCAGACTACCTCAATTTTACTTTTAGGCAGGTTTCTAGATCAGAGAAATATGGTAGTTGTTATGTATCTGCATTTTATCAAAACGTTTGATGTAACCTTTTAGATGATCATTTATAGACAAGAAATAGTAAATGTCTGGCAGCACTTGGGAGAATTTGTAACTTGGGAATTACCTGATAAAATGACACAGGATTCTATCTTCAGTGCAGTCTCATTCACCACTTTTAGCAATGACATGGGTAAATATATTGGCGGCTTGCTGATTAAATAGCCACCATGTTGGATAACAGAATCAGAATCAGAGATGATCTCAGCAGGCTTCTACTAAGAGCCACATGTGACAAGATGAAACACATGGATTCCTCTAGAGCACTCCTCCAGTTGGGCCAGCAAGCACACTGCACAGGATGGGAGGCAGGGCTTCCTTCAGATCCTGACTCCATTACTTTCTCTGTGACATACGGCCCCACATTCATAAAGTGTAAAAGAATATTGTGAATTCTCCCTTTATTCCCAAATCATTCCCCAAAGGCAACCAAAATTATTAGGTTTTTACAGTGTATCCTTCCAGAGGAATTTTATGCCAGTGAAAGCAAATTGTATGTGCATGTGTTTTCCTCCCCACTTTCCCGTTTGTATACAGATGGGAGTATATTACTCACAAGTGTTTTGTACCTCGTTTCCCCCCCTCATCTTTATCAGTTTATGTTGGAGGTTTTTACATATCAGTATGATTATCTTCTTTTAAGTGGTTGCACGGTATTACTTTGTAGGGAGGGATGTATCATGGTTTAGTTAGCCAGTCCTCTACTGATGGGCATTTTGGCTGTTTTTAGTCTTTAACATTACAAGTAATGCTGTGGTTAATAACTATATAATGGTTATAATAATAAATGTATATGTATAATGGAATAAAGTCTTAGAAGTAGTATTATTAGGTCAAAGGGGAATTCTACTTTCTAGTGTCAATATTGTCATTCCCTGCCCTCTTGTTTCTTGTAATTTAAGAAAAAAAATGGATTTTATGGCTGGAAAAGATACTGTGTACCATAAAATTCAGTGATTCTCAAAGTGTGGTTCTTGGGCTAGTGGTAGGAACAGCATCACTGGGAACTTGGTAGAAAAGCAGATTCTTGGGGCCCATCCTGGACTTCCTGAATTAGAACTTCGGGGACTCCAGCAACTTGTGCTAACAGCTAATTTTACATGTGAGGAAACTATGATCACAAAGGTGAAGTAACTTACCAAACATCAGTTACTGGCAGTTTCTCTTAATTTCCATCATAACTTGCTATTTTTCTTACGTAGTTTTGTCTCTTTCAAAGAAGACATTTTGTTTTTAAAGTTAGCAACATAAAAAATAAGTCATTGATTCTGTTCCTACCTTTTTCATTTGTGCTTCTTCTCTGTGTCTTTTAGGACATAGCAAATTTATATGAATACTATTTTGAGGTTTTCATCTGGATTCTTTAGATTTAGCTGACTTTTAAAAACCAAACCTTAAATTGGCCCCCTGCTGTTTTTTACATGCAAGACTTTTGGTTGTCTCAAGGGGTGACCTCTGACTTCTTTTTCATACTCCCTTCCCATCATGTCATGTCTTTCCTCCTTTTAGAATTTCTAGGCTATAGCCTATTCTTAACTACATATACTCCTTGCCTCATGTTCCCTCCTTTACTTTTTCTTTTCTCTCTACACTAAAACTCTATTTTCATTTGTTTTTATCTTGAAGTGTTTGGATCTTCCAAATTGAAAAAAATTAGTACACCTTAGCCTACCCTTGGCATTTTGGTTTTCTATTTCTGTATTTGTGCCTGGTTTTATTTTACTGATGTGCACTCTTATCAATTTTTTTGTTAGTTTATATGCTCGTTGAGGGCAAGGACCATATTTTAGTCATTGTCACTTCAGGCTTCTTGCACCATTCTTTGCACTTTCTAGTTGATAGACAAATGTTGGTTGCATTTGTGCTCACCCACAGGTGGGATTCAGTGGAATAGAGAACATGTTCTGTGCTGCATTCAGTGTCTGTGACTCTCACTGGTTGTCTTATAAATACTCTGATGACTGCATGGGATGGTCGGCGTGACAGGGATAGGCTGGCTCACACTCCTCCAGTGAACTTTACAAGTGGAAAGTTATAACTCCATAATCATTTAATCTGTATTTTGGTCTTCTTATGTGCCAGGAATAATGTTATATTTTGAGGATGATATGTTTTCAGTGTCATTTACATAAATAAAAGACAGCAAGCATATTTTTACTATTGAGAATGTTTTATACTTGTATGCATTTACATTATATGCATCATTTCCTTTTTGTGAGTTTGAAACTAGAGGTACGGTGTTACAGGGATGTTTAAAATTTCAAAATTCTTTAGTTACTATGTTATGTTCACTCTATTGTCCTGAGTACCCAAATATCAAGGGGGTACTTCTTCTTGATGAAACTTCACATTCTAGTAAAAACACAGAATTTTCTCAGGTTATCTCAGCATACTTGTCAAGGAAGAATATATATGCTTCACTCTGGGATAGAGTGAAAATTTTATCATTTTTTAATTTTTCCATAAAGCATTATAATTTTATACTTAAAATTTAATTTTTTGAGTAGTACTCAGAATACACCTTATAATAGAGAATTCTGAAAAGAATCAAATCTTGGAAATGGGTTTTTAAATGGTGGTTGCCTGGAATACAGTGATTTTGGTTCATAAGGCAAATGTTCTTATGAGCTGTCTTGAGAAATGGAAATGTCATGGCTGGCTTAGAGCCAAGTTAACAACTGACAGAATGTGCCACTGAAGTAATTTTGAAATTATTTTTCTCCAGGACATATCATTTTTATCAAATTTTAGCTAATTGTGTGGAAAATGGAGAAGTGGAATGCTTTAATAAAATTTTGTGATCAGAGGTAAATTGTAAAAATTAAATGTAATAGATTACCAGCCCATTTAGAGACTTGTATTACCTTAGCAATTGTATATTGGCAATTTACATACAGCATTTTCCTTAATTGCTACTTTTAGATCAACAGTATAACCTTACTGTAATACATATTGTAAACTTGTAAATTTGTTGTTTCTTTTATGTCATACAGAACGTAAGCAAAACTATTTTGTCATTGTCCCCAGGCTCATTTAAAAGCCAGTTCAGGAAATAGTATGTGAGACATATTTATCTGGCATCTTTAGTTTGTTAACAAGTTATTGTTACGTTATTTGTCCACAATCACCTAGAAGTTTATACTTACGAATATTATCAGGGGCAAGGTTTGCTGGATGATTGATAAGCTGTATCCCATCTGTAGTTCCTGTGTTTAGTACTCATCTTTCTACATGAGTGTGTTTAGCACCTATTTCCAAAATGTAGAGTTGAGATTCTCATTGTTTCTTTTTTAGTGAGCATTTGTCCTGTGCTTTCACATTCTTTCTTCATGGGGAAAGTAATGTATGCACAAGTGTGGAGATTGCCCAACACCAGCCAATTTATTTGATCAATGAGGAGCATATACACATGGCTCAGTCTTCACCTGCACCATTTCAAGGTAAGTAAATGATGGTGTCCCTGCTCTCCACCCGGCCCCCCCCAAGTGGATGGCCACCTTGCTCAGTGAGATTTTACAGAATGAGATATTATCTTAAATGGGCATGTTAAGCTAAGCAGTAAGAGTCAGTTTCTGAAGAACGAAGAGAAGACCACCATTTCACAGTGAAGTGATAATGGCTTGCTAGTTTTCTGATGAAAGCATCTCACATATGCAACATAGTCTTGTCTGTATTGTGGAATAAAATGTGGAGAATTTTCTTTAGATCAAAAGAGGACCAGTAAGTATATAGTCCAATAAGTAATTGACAAATCATTGTTTTGTTTGTCCCATAGTTTTAGGAATGTAATGACTTATAGAAAATTACTATTAAACTTAGTATATTTGAAATTTCAACCAAAATCAGACTTCTAGAGTTGTATATAGTTTCTTCATTGATATTAATATCTTTCTTATTTCTTAATTATAGACTACATTGGTTATAGATATTTAGTTGCAATTTAACTTACATTCATATTTTTATTAATTCGCAGCTTGTCCCCTAGATAGCACCAAAATAACTCCGTGTCCTTTTCCTCTAGCTGTGCGTTCTAAAGCTTTGGTTTTGTCTTTGGAATTCAGGATTTTCTATGAATAACTCTTTTAATATTATAATATTAAATTGAACCATTTAGAAAAATCTTTGTTTTTTTTTCAGTCTAATTTATCATTACTAGAGATGCCTGGTTAAAATAGTCCTATTGTATCACACAATGTAATTTTTAAAAAACTAATATTTGAATAGAATTGACTGAAGTATTTTTATTGATACAATAGTCTGTCATGAGTGCTTAGCCTCCATGATATTTATGATTGCTTTTTGGTTTTCTACAAATGATTCTGACTTAACTTGATGAAAGCATCTGTTTCTTGCCCTAAAGGTAGTAAAGGTCTTTTTCTTGTTTTAAGGTAAAAAAGGACATTGAGCCTCATTTAACTGTGTCCTGATTATTACCTACATTTCACTCCTCTTGCAACACATTTTAAGCTGTGTACTTTATAATTCTATAATTTTGGATGTTTTATTATGAACTGCTGTAATATTCAAAACCATGTAATGCTCAAACTGTACACTTAAAGTTGAACAGTATGTGCATATTATGGATTGTCAAGATTATTAAAAATACTGTGTCCTTGACTTTGAAAGTGCTGAGGATCATCTGACTTCATGATAAGCT